AAGGCAGGCAGGAAGGAAGGCAGGAAGGAAGGAAGGAAGGAAGGAAGGAAGGAAGGAAGGAAGGAAGGAAGGAAGGAAGGAAGGAAGGAAGGAAGGAAGGAAGGAAGGAAGGAAGGAAGGAAGGAAGGAAGGAAAGGGAAGGGAAGGAAAGGGAAGGATCTCATGCTGGAGAGGAGGGAATGTGTAAGGCTATTTATGGTGCAACTATAGGAATCGCCATGTTTATGAGGAAAATAGATGAGATGCAAACCCAAGGAAAAGGAAGCAACATTGCTAAAAGACAAACATCCTTCAGTAAAGGGACATTTATTTTATTATGGCTGAATTGAGCCTTTACTATGGATTCAACTTCTTGATATGTAAAAAGTGTTTCCTTTTTTTTTAAAAAAAAAAAATAAAAAATGTGTGTGTGTGTTTTTGTTTAGTTGGTTTTTGTTGGTTTGGTTTTTCTCTTTGTTTGGTTTTTGGTTGTGGTTGTTGTTGTTTTTTTGGTGTTGTTGTTTTGTTTGTTTGTTTTAATGAAAAAAACCCACAAAACAATCCACTGAGAATTTTGTTTTTAACCAACAGAACAAAAGTTAAGAATATTGATCGCACTATGGGAAAGAGAATGTGGGTCAAGGTTAACCAGAACACCTATTCCTGGTCCTATTGGTGGAACAATACCAACTGCTGCAAAAACGTCCTCATGTATATTGCCACAGGACAGCCCCATGCCCATCTTCACGTCCCTCCAGTTTCCATCCACCTCTACACATAGCCAGGGTTCCTGCCCAGCACCCAGCTGTGCATTTGCTCTAGCAAGGACTTTCAGAGGATGATGGGACTTACAGTAATTTAACTTTCTATTGCTGGCAGAAGGTAGAGGTCTAGCCTGAACTACTAGGCATCTCAAGTCTTATTGTGATTATAAGATACAGACACCAAATCTCTTGCCCTTTTAAACGTTCAGCATTCTAAAATGTGTGAATATGAGAATACCAATGGAATGCAGCATCCAGAACCTGAGAAACATGCTTGATTTCTAATTCACAGAAGTACAGTGTTATACATAGTATAGAAGCAAGCTGTGGAGGCATAGAATTTTAGTTAAAGAAAATAATACTGAGAAATTAAAAGTTTGAAGGGAATTTGAAAAAGTAACACAATACCAACTAAGCAACAAAACGGAGCCAATTCCGTGACACATGGTATTAGAGTTATGTCTCATTAAGTCATAGCCATATATTCTGCATACAAATCTCTAGCATAAGACTTGGCATTCACAGAAGCTGAAAATTCAAAATAGTTTTAAAGCAAGTTATTGTCACCTCAGTAAAACTGCTTGTGAATCTCTTACTCAGAATGAAGCAATTTGCAATTAAGGATTTTGTTTGCTATACTTTGGAAATCTTTAAAAAGTGCAGTACTTTACATTTACTCCTCATATATACTGTATTGAATTAATTTGATTTCACTTTGTTTAAGTTGCTTCTGAATCAAAGGATGCAAAAATAAATTACAAGTGCTTTAATTCTGAACCAGTGTCCACACAGGATTAAAGGGAGTTTTGTTAATACACTTCAAAGTCACACCTGTAGTTATTTTGGGTAATTTTCCTGGGTGCTCCTACATAATAAAGGCTAGTGAGACACAAATATGGGAAACTGCTGTAGCCTTGAATAATGACAGAGCAAGGAAGAGGGCTATAAATGTTTCTACAGAAGTCATTTTTCAGTTTTGATTGCTAATCAGTTTTCTAATAAAGTATGCAGGACTCAGTGGCATTTGCCTAAATTTGCCTAGAGTATTTGCCATTCCTATTAATTTTCTTTAGCATGAAAAAATATGTTCCCATGCACAAGGTAATAATGCTTTTTATTTCTATACCTGGACCAGCTTACTGAAACCTTAGCCTTGTTGACATGGTTGATAGAAGTTTTCACTGACTTTAGCAGAGGTGTATTTTTATTCAAAATAACAAAGAGAGAAAGAGAGAGAGAGAAAGAGAGAGAGAGAGAAAGAGCGAAAGAAAGAGCGAAAGAGCGAAAGAAAGAGCGAAAGAGCGAAAGAAAGAGCGAAAGAGCGAAAGAAAGAGCGAAAGAGCGAAAGAAAGAGCGAAAGAGCGAAAGAAAGAGCGAAAGAGCGAAAGAAAGAGCGAAAGAGCGAAAGAAAGAGCGAAAGAGCGAAAGAAAGAGCGAAAGAGCGAAAGAAAGAGCGAAAGAGCGAAAGAAAGAGCGAAAGAGCGAAAGAAAGAGCGAAAGAGCGAAAGAAAGAGCGAAAGAGCGAAAGAAAGAGCGAAAGAGCGAAAGAAAGAGCGAAAGAGCGAAAGAAAGAGCGAAAGAGCGAAAGAAAGAGCGAAAGAGCGAAAGAAAGAGCGAAAGAGCGAAAGAAAGAGCGAAAGAGAGAAAGAAAGAAAGAGCGAAAGAAAGAGCAAAAGAGCAAAAGAAAGAGCGAAAGAAAGAGCGAAAGAAATGAAGAGCGAAAGAAAGAGCGAAAGAAATGAAGAGCGAAAGAAAGAGCGAAAGAAAAAGCGAAAGAGCGAAAGAAAGAGCGAAAGAAAGAGCGAAAGAGCGAAAGAAAGAGCGAAAGAAAGAGCGAAAGAAGGAAGGAAGGAAGGAAGGAAGGAAGGAAGGAAGGAAGGAAGGAAGGAAGGAAGGAAGGAAGGAAGGAAGGAAGGAAGGAAGGAAGGAAGGAAGGAAGGAAGGAAGGAAGGAAGGAAGGAAGGAAGGAAGGAAGGAAGAAAGAAAGAAAGAAAGAAAGAAAGGAAGAAAGGAAGAAAGGAAGAAAGAAAGAAAGAAAGAAAGAAAGAAAGAAAGAAAGAAAGAAAGAAAGAAAGAAAGAAAGAAAGAAAGAAAGAAAGAAAGAAAGAAAGAAAGAAAGAAAGAAAGAAAGAAAGAAAGAAAGAAAGAAAGAAAGAAAGAAAGAAAGAAAGAAAGAAAGAAAGAAAGAAAGAAAGAAAGAAAGAAAGAAAGAAAGAAAGAAAAGAGCAATTTCCTCCCCTTTATTCCCTCTTCATCAGAGCAGTAACACCAGATACTTAACATGAATGGGACCTCCCATTTGCCTCATTTCCCTGGCAAACACTTACATAAAATGTTTCTGGATGATTACTTGAAATGAGGAGTGTAGATGTTAGATCAGGCTCTTACATTCTATTTTGGCAAAATACAGATTATTTGAATTTTTAAAAATTATTTGACCTGAATGGTTAAAACAACTCTCCAGCTGCAAAAAAAATATTTGTTTTGTTTTGTTTTAAAAAAACCAAAACAACAACAAACAAAACTTGACCAAATGCTGATGCACCTCTCACTTGATGACAAACTGAGCTCCAAAACTGGAAATCCAGCCCTCTGAAAACATTGGTCTAATCTTCTGGGAAGGTTTGAGTTTTCTGTACAGTGCTGTAGAAATAAAAAACATTCAGGATTACAGTTCAAAATGGAAGCATCTCCTAATCATGACATTTTTGTTAAAGATAGTCCTTGGAGACCAGCTGATAATAGCAATTCTACCAGTTTTCTACATACTTTATCCATTTGTATAGATTATTTAAATTTTGGAAGCTTAGGTATCAGTTTATGTGGCTGAGTCTCTGCAGATTTGCTTTTATCCAACTTCACTTTCGTTGACAATAGTTTTATCAGCATTTAATTACTCTAAAACCAGAAAGCAAGCACAAAGTGCTTCCAAAATAATCAGGTTTTCAAGAATCAGTTGCTGCTTGTCTCTGTTCTCAATACACTAATATGTAAACCCAGTGCAGATCACCAGGGAAACCAGCAGCTTGCTACCCTACAATTTTCTTAGCATATCTCCAGTGAGACATAAATTGACAATAATCTAGATTTTCCACTTTTTTACAGCACCTAAACATTTTAGTGGTGAATAAATTTTTCCCCAGGTATGCATTAGTAATATGCTCAGTCAAGCTGGACAGAAAGGTCTGCTGTAAAGCAGATACAGGTGAGATAGTTACTTGCTAAATGCTGGTAATGTTTTGTGTGTATTATGCTTAATGTAGGTCAGGTGGAGACTACGTTCCTTATGTTTGGCAGTACTGAAATATAAAGCTTGCTTCAGCCACAAGGGGTTTATTCCAATCTAGGAATTCAGTTTAGGCTAAAGCTGGAGAGATTTATACTGGCTGAGAATTTGCTTATGTTTTAAGAAGCTTACTTTGATTTAGAGAGTTCAGAGAGTTTAGCAAAAGCTTCAATTACAATATTTCACTTCTGTAGGTAAATTTGCATACTAGTACTTTTTTCTCGTAAGAATTTTGTAACTTAAATTTGTATTGTTTAGATTTAAAATAATATTGTTGTTTTTTCTATAGCTTTCTTTTATTTCATCCACTGGTGGTGAGTTTACATGTTCACATATTACATTTATAATGGAAAAGCACTAGCTGCTTTGAAATTCCACTGTATCTTCCTCCTGGCTTCAGTAGTCTCAGTATGTATTTTGCATAAGTCCTTTTGCTTTTAAAATCATGTTAATTTATTCCCTAGTGTAATTTTACTTTTGGGCAAGAGCTGAAGTTTATTGTTAGCAACAAAAGGAAAAAAAACCCTATTAGGTATTTGGGACCAAGAAATTCTTAAGTTTCAAGAAAGGCTTAAATCAGTAACAAAACTAGTAAGCTTACATTTCCTCTGAGGACAAATGTCATGGCAAATCACTTCCCATTGTCATGTTGTTGTAGTGCTAGAGTCTCATAATCCTGCTTCTTCAAAAATGTTTTTGAATCTTCATCTTAGATTTTGTCATTGTCCTGTTGATCTTTAAGGTAAGCAGCTGTTATCTGTGTGTGAGAAGTCATTCATCCTATCTTTTGAAGAAATACCTAGTAAGTAAAGTCTCTTTTGAATTTGAAAGCAGATAACATCTGGCTTAGTCATCCTGTGCAAGGTTTCTGGATGACTTCAGCAGCATAGAAACCTGCAACTGATCAGCTTGCCACTGCCTTTCAAGGCTGATATTGAACTGTTTTGGACAGCCTGGGATAATTCAGCTACAGAGCCACCAAATCAGTTTATACATGATGTACCTCAACAGTCCTCTTTTGTTTACTTTACAAAGAAAATCTTGGCATTTTATCCAATATTGCACCACATCTTTCATGTGCAAGCTGATGAAGACTCGGCAGTGAGTTCATTTCAGTGCAAAAGAAGCACATCCCATTGTTCTAGATTGGAGATGGGTACCAGTTGATCAGCTAAATCATGAATAATAATAAAGTTTGCAATCCAGAAAGCCTGCTTTCCAGTACTGTTTAAACAAAGCAGCAAACTCCCTAAGCACAGAGCCTGTGAGTTCTCTGTACTGCAACATTCCTGGGTACTGCAACATCACCAACTGAGGGGAGAGGGGAGGCTGGTGCCTGCCTTATCTCCTCTGCAGCTGGGTGTTAAGAAAGGAACCGTCTTATTTCTACTGAGGTGCCTTGAATGGGTCTTGGTTATCTGGCCCATGGTGAGTCTTTTCAGGCTGCATGGATGTAAGAGGGGAGATGGCATCTGGTGGGTGACTCAACATGGAGACCTAGTGGTGGTACATGGTTTCTCAGTTTGTCCAATGACCAGTGTGTTCATCTTAACCCTGCCAGTATTTTTTGTTCATGTTAGTGAAGAGAGCCCCTCAACAGGCAGGGCCTGAGCACACGAAAATGAAAGATCCTTCCTGTGACACCTCAATAAACCTCTGGCTGCTGTCCAGCAGAGGCAATGCTGCTTCTGTCTTAACAACCACCACAAGGAAGAATGAGAATTTCTTTTAAAGGTGATATGCAGGAACATATAAAATGTTGCCTATTTTTCTTTAATTACTAGTGTCCTGTAGAGATTTGGAAGCATAATTTTATTGTGTAATTTTGGAAAACTTGGCCATTACATTATCTCTGACAATAAGTGTACCAATAATGAGAAAAACAAACAAACAAACAAAAATGTTCTTAAACTAAAGGCATAAAAATCCAAAGAAGTCCTGCTAGTCACATGCAGGGGTTCTCTCCATTAAACCCCACAGGGAAATGCCTGAGGAAACAACTGAATTACACTAGCATATGAATCAATACATCTAGTCAATAAAAATACTCATCTTAGTGTGGATCCACCTCTATAAAAAAAGTCATTGGTGTTTCTCCTGGGGGTCTATGGAAAAATTAATATAATATTAATAAAGCCTAGTTTTGCCTTTCAGTACAATTCTGTGATTCTGTAATTCCAAGTAGGGGTTAAAATGTGGGACACATGAGTCAGGAATAACTCACGGAGACCCTGTGCTCAAAAGATATTTGGCCTTGTTTTTTGTTTGGGTTTTTTCTTACTTTCTGAAAGAAGCAGAAGTTAATAACATTGCACAGACTTGATGCAAAGCATCAAGTCTGAATTGTGCAAACACAGCTGGAAAGTGACTTAGATGGTGAATACACCTCACCCACCCACACTGACAAGGTAGCTGCATTTCTAATACATTGTTCCTAGATGTGCTAATTAAAGATGCAAATTATCCGATGAATTACAATCTCGAAATTCAATACAGCCTAAGTGAATATGGGCTCCTCATGGTCCCACAGCCCACATGATATCCATATGGGGGAGTTCCTCATTATTCCAGAGGAATTACATATCTCTGTGTATACTGGCCTCTCTCTGCAGACAGATGTTGCTCTTGAAGCAATGTTAGCTAGATCATCAGCAGAAAAATTCTTGATTGTAGGGTTAATGCTCCTTTTTACCAGTTTATTAAAGGAAAAAAGAAAAATAAGTGTTTTTTTTTTAAATAGTGGCTTTGTCAGTGAATTTCCTTACGTTGATAAAGTGGTATGTGGCATCTTAGCCAAGTGCATTGGTTGTAGGACAGAGTGTCACCTGTAGCACCAATGGGTAGTACCAGGGAAAGACACTTTAATTTCTCTTCCTATTCATTTTTGCTTCCTACTCCAATTCTGCCACTGCAGGGATGATTTACAGAGCCTTAAAAAAGGATGAGGAATGATCTTCATCACAGAGAGATGTTGGTATTAAAAATTTTAGTGCTGATAATTTTTATTTTTGTCATTAGTAATGCTTCTTCGTTAGTTATAACGTAAGGAAAGAACATTTTAACATAACACTGCACTTATGTCTCAACTAAAATCCTGAGAGCACAGCACATGTGCCATCAGAATTAGCAGAGTCCCTCTGCTATTTAGTGCAAGCAGGAAAGTTCTTGTAGCATTCACTTTTCAGCAAATTAATACTTTGTGTGGCTGGAGGTGTTCCATGAAACATGACCCTACAGTAGTGTCCATTAGAATGGTCAGGAGCTATTTCATAGAATCACAGAATTGTTTTGGCTGGGAAAGACCTTCAAGATTCTCAAGCCCAACTGTAAACTTTACACTGTCAAGTCCACCATCTCCCTAAAAGCCACATTTACACAACTTCCAAATACCTCCAGGGGTAGTGATTCAACCACTTCTCTGGGCAGCCTGTTCCAATACTTGACAATCCTTTTGGTGAAGAAATTTTTCATAATACCCAATCTAAACCTCCCCTGGCACAACTTGAGGCCATTTCCTCTTGTTCTATCTCTTGTTACTTGGGAGAAGAGACCAACCCCATTTTGCTACAACCTTCTTTCACATAGTTGGAGAAAGCATCAAGGTCTCCTCTCAGCCTCCTTTTCTCCAGGCTAAACAACCCCAGCTCCCTCAGCCTCTCCTTGTAAGAATTATTCTCCAAAGATTTCATGTTAAGCTATTGTATAGAAATGTAAAGCTTAGCACTGCCAGTGGCTACGCTGGTGTTACCGGGCTTGAGACCTTTAGGGAGGTTTGTAAGCTGTGGCTTGAAGCTATGACTGTGGATGAAAACTGAATTGAAAAAGAAAAATATGTGCCAGTGTTATTAAGTTTATGACATAAGCTGTAGAAAGTGGGAAAAAAAGTGGAAAGGTAAATTTTATATTCAGTCCAAAATGGATGTGTGTGGTGTACAATGTGATGTACAAAGCAGCCAGCACTACTCACTGAGCTAAAACTTTTGTTATATCCAAATACAG